TGGGTGTTTTTCCCCTAGGGACATACTTTCCTTGGGTATTTTTCCCCTAGAGTCTTCTCTCCCTACGATCTCTTTCCCTAAGGACATATTTCCCTTGGGTGCCTTTTCCCCTAGGGCCGGCTTCCCTAGAGTCTCCCCCCAGGGACATCATCCTTTTCCATGGACATCCTTTTCTTAGGTACCTTTCCCCCTAGGTATTCCCTTTTCTAGGTGCCCTTTTCTCCAGGTCCTCTCCCTAGGGACCTCCTTCTCAGGGCCTTTTTCCCCTAGATCCTCTTTGCCCTAGGTGCTCTTTTCTCTTCAGTCTTCATTCTTTACCTATGGAATCTAACAATACTTGGATTCGTACATCTTTACCCTTTTATCCTAAGGACATATAAGGATAGTGGTAACCTTACCTAAAGCCACGGTGGCACGCGACTGTATACCGTTGTCAACTTGTCACCCGAAGTGTCACAATTGACCCCGGTGAAAGATTCCTCGCGGCAAGTACGTCGTGTCTTCCGCATTCGTAATTTCTCGGTAAATCCCTCGAGTAACGAGGAAAGTTGTTCCAGACGGTTCTCCTTTCCTCCCTCTCTCTCTATCAACCGCAACTCGTATCACCGGCTCGCATGAATTCTAATCGGTTTTTACGTAATATCGGCGGGTACTGCGTGCAAGGAATGCTAGGCTGCGCTTCTTTTACCACAGACTGAAAGGCTTCACCGGTTTTCAAAGCTATGCAACCGGTGCACACTTGTTCATAAATCAGTTTGCGTTCTTTTAATGCTCTTATCGTTAGCCTGATTTGTTTCTCTTGCCAATACTGAGCGCATTATACCTGCGGAATGCTGCAGAGAATACGTGCTTAACTCGTCTACTTTGTTTGCCTCTGTATATGACCTAACTAACTGTCTTGCTTCTCTTTTTCTTGTATCACATAATTGATATAATGGTCTTATTTTTCTGTTCCAGGTAAGATACTCGACTTCTAAAGGCACAGGCAGTTCTTTGGGGCAACTTCAGGATGGTTGGGTAATTCTAGTGGGTAGGGTACCACCCCGAATTTTTTGGCGTGGGTGGTACCAGTTCCACACTGCCCGGGTTCCCCCTAGCCGAATAATGCGAAAGGGACCAACCCGCGCGTACGTAAATGTATTTCCTCTCCGACTAATAAAAAAAAAGGATTTTTGACCGTTTAGTACTTTTGTACTGACCATTTTGGTAATAAAATACAGGCCGAAAGTTGATTTATATAATGACCAAAAATACTGACCATTTAATTTGTTATGAGTGATGGGTTCCTATTGAAATTCAAGCGTCACCCATGCATGGTCAGTCAAAGTGTTATAGATACAATATAAAATACTTAAGTTGTAACAACGAGCCAGTCAACAAATCATTCTCGACTATAAAAGGACTGGAAAGTTAAGAAAAGAAATGGATTCACAGATAAGAGAGTGATTATCTGTTGCAGTTATTGCACATGATTTTTAATTGGCTTTATCTATATACCTTTTATAAATAGCTGTGACAATATCCAGGGATTGGAAGAGATAATGAAAAGCATAATACCAGTTCAAGATTGAAAATTTATTAAGATTACTAAAAGTTGAATATCAGGTATTCAAATTGCTGTTCACGTTACTGACAGAAATTATCTTTAGCGATGGATTAAGAAACAATAGAGCTTGAAATTCCCTCGAGGAAGCCTTAGAATTAGAAACGAAAGTCTGCAGTTACAAAACTCTTAATGCTTGTACGTAGAAAGTAACGTTCAGTGCTGAAAGGCTTCATGTACAATCATAAATGCCAAATTCATCATAGTTTTTCAAACAGTCGTGAATGTGCCAAATGGTCCCGAACATTGAAGAAGCTAATCCGTGAAACGTTAATGGACGATTTGCTAACGACGATTTCCAGTTTGTTAAGTTGTTTATGATCACGAGTACCTACGGTTCAGCTGCTAATGAACGTTGCAAAAGAAGATGAGAGAAGTGGAGGATTTTTTGTGCTGGTACCCAGGCGTAATGAATTGTTGAAATAGAAGAAATCAACGTTTTGCATAATTCCAGATGATACAGGATCAGGAAGAGCAGAAGCTATGTGGAGGAGAAGAGTCACTGCAATAGAATGTTGCATAATCAAACATATCTCTCTTAATAAATACTAAAATAAGAGAAGTTAGCTTATCTCTGGTCTAAGCTGGACTGCGGTTCTAGATTAAATTTAATTAGATTGAACTTAATTGATAGTAAGTCTGCTAATTAGATCAGATTCGATCTGGGTTATGTGCAAATTAGATTGGACTCGATACAAGTTTTGTTTAGATTATGCTAGATTAAGGCTAGGTTAGGCTAAGCTGTTAGGTTGAATTAGATGCGAATCAAGTTATTGTAAATTTCCGGCTTAATGTCTTTTACTATAGTCGTAGGATTTATACCGCAGTTCACCAGAGTCCATAACTGCGAAAAGACCAGTTTTCGTTCTTCGCGCATCTCCAGTGCGCATGTTCGCCCTGATTGGCGATATTCCCAAATGAAGTGGAAAGCGATTGGCGGAGAGCTCGCTGCGTTCCCCCACCATCTTCCAACCTGCGCGTCGCAGTTATGGACTCTGGTGAACTGCGGTATAGATATAACCATATCTGATAAGTGCCGTGCGTCGCCGACTCTCCGGACGAATCTTGGACAGCTAAATCCGGAGCTTAATTAACGTAGAAATTGAGATCCTTATGAACCACGATTTTTCTCTAATATAGAAAATGATTTCACAATGGAAATTCAAAGCATTCGCCGACTCTCCGGACGAATCTTGGACAGGAAAATCTGGAGCTTAATTAACGTAGAAATTCACAATTTTTCTCTAATATAGAAAATGATTTCACTAAGGAAATTCAAAGCTATTGTAGATTTCTATTTCCCATGCGGGCACATGGTGAATGCATGTATTATCTTTTCACCACGGTAGATTAGAAAATTGTTTTTCCAATTTAAGAGAAAGTCCAGGCTGTTTCCTGGATCTCGTTGCTTGATCTAGACGAATGGAATCAAGTTCAAAAAACGTATCAGAATTGATATCGGTGCAGCTTTCTATTTAATAAGCCGATATCAGTGATTTTATTGATATCTTTGTAAAAATGTCTCCTTCGATAAGCAAATTTATCTCTGGTGCAATGTTCACCAACATTAACTTCATTAACATTCTTGTTTTCTCAGTGCATACACAGGTAAAAGCTTCTGAAATTCCAAACTATCCGTGTTTCTCCTTCAGCCTACTAAATCTTGCTCTTCTAGTTAACATTTGTTGCGCAGGTCTGCCCATTCAGACCCGTGTCGTTAGTTTATCGAGACCTGCTCGTATTGGAAAGGAAGGAAAGATGGAATCCTGGACATATTTACGACGTTCTTAGAGCATCTCTTTCTTCTCCCATTCCTGCTGTTTGAGACTCTTTGTAACATATTTTCTTTCCATTATTCTGCTCGATTTGAAAAATTCAGATTTCTCAATTTTACTCGTTCCATTCCTTGCCAAGTATCTTCTTTATTCATCCTGATTGCTGCCCTTGTCTTTCAGCTCGTTTACACCATCTGTTTCTTCGGCTCCCCAGATCCCTTCATTTCGTTCCGAGTATCTTGTTGCTTTCGTGGAATTACTTTTTGCTCGATCCACCTTCTTCGACTATGAGTCAAACAGGCGAGTATCCAGAGGCTGGGACGCTGTGTGCGTGTAATGGACGCGCGAAGGAGAAGAGCAGCCTCCGGAGATGCTCCCCGAGGAGGTCGCGAGCAAGGCCACGCGGGGCGTTGCCCTCCTCAGCTGGTTCTCCGATCCGCATATACTCTGCTGCGCGTCCACTCGTCCAGGATCAATCTACTGGGTGTCTAGGATACGATCCTTAATTAAAAGGACATCGTTTTGATTAACCAGTTAACTGCGGAATTTAGTTTCAAAAATCCTTCATGGAATGCGTAATTAAAATGACGAATAGGAGGAAGGAAGTAGAGCAAAACGAGGAAGGGTTACATTTTTATTCGATACAAGATTAATATTTCAGTTGAACAAAAATTTGAAAATTGTCAAAAAATAATAAAATTCATAAGAAAGAAAAATAATTTTAAGAAATTAAAGTATACGAAACAATTTGGAGAATACCAGATGCATTGGGGAAAATAATTATTAGGTTTACAAATTAATTCGGTGCCTTTTCTTTATTTTGATTAAAGATTTATTTTCAAAAAACCATAGTAGTTCCAATTATTGAAATAATCGTTATTATTATTATGTGGTTTGTTACTTTTCAAATATTCAAAACCGCGGGAAAATATTCAAATTAAAAATATTAATTAAGAAGGCATAATACTAAAGGCACCGAATTAATTTGTACACCCAATAACTCAGTTTGTAAAAAGTAATGCATTGTACAGGGAATATTTGATACAACAAAGAGAATAATCAAATTATTTTGTATAAAATATATAGCAGTTTTATTGGTAATATAAAGAAAAAATACCATCAAATGACATTTTTATTACTTCTTATTGAAATTTGCCGTTTTTACATTAAATGGTAATTTTTTATTTTACTACCGAAATAAAGTTTTGGATTGACGTTTATACACGTCGAACGCAGTTAACTGGTTAAACACTGCACTTCGTTTTAAGGGACTAAAAATTTTTGGTTAAAAAATATAAAATCTTATAGTTTTCCACCAGAAACATTTAAAAATGCAAGTTAAAAGTTTAGGAAACCAGTGGGTTAAAGAAATAAGATTACGTAAAAATGTATTTAACATATTTAACATATTTTGACAAGTTGTTATGACGCCATATTGCTTCTACTCATATAAATGCCTCGGTTAGGTTAGGTCTATATCAAATTTTCCGGCCGCCTCGCGAATATAAATCTCTTTATTCACGTTATACATATATTTTTAAATAAGGTAAACGAACCAATCAGAGTATGAGTAGAAACAATATGGCGGCGTACTAACCTATCCAACTCCACTAAGTACGTACATTTTTACACAATTGTATATTTTTAAACCATTCCTTTCCTAAACTTTTCATTTGTATTTTTGGATATTTCAGGTTGAAAACTACAAGATTTTATATTTTTAAATCACTAATTTTTGGTCTCCCAAAACAAACTTTTACCCTCTTTTCTATCACTTGTAGAATTTTCTGAATTCAATTTAATATATTTGATGCTACTTTTGGCAAATAGTACCACCACTTGGCATTGTTAGAGTTCAGACTAGTTGACATTCAATTCACGCGAACGTGAAACAAAGTAGCATTGAATATCCCATCAACTATTGTAATCCGAAGGTCAGGAATAACGCGTTAAGAATAACTATTTGTCCGTGGAATTAATGTGCATACTAATGATTTATGTAGGTGTTATTGTTCAACCTGCAAATTCCTAATATCACAATGGTTCTAGTACATAACCTCGTTAAGTTACATCAGTCGGTAATAACACACTTGAACTTGACAATTAATATTAACCTTGTGCCTGCTAATAGCACAATATATTCTTCCTACAACTTACTTTTTGTATTATAGTTTAGAAAATTCATATCCACTGTTATTTATTGATTAATCGTTTTTTAGATGAGCAAACTTGAGGTGATTGCTCTCTGATAGCCTGCAGCTGTTTTTTGTACCATAGGATTTAAAACTGAATGGATGTTGAGGAATGCTCGAAGACCAGCCAATTATCCAATTAATGACTGACCCACTGATTAGCTAGAATTCAGACTATAATCAATTTTGCATAAGTTGCAAATATTTCTAAAGAACCTCTTTATGGGTTCAAAGTGACCATAAACAATCTTGGTCTTGATTAGCCAGAATTCAGACTATAATCAATTTTGGATAAGATGCAAATGTTTTTGAAGAACCCCTTTATGGTCTTGGTCTTGATTAGCCAGAATTCAGACTATAATCAATTTTGGATAAGATGCAAATATTTCTGAAGAATCTCTTTATGGATTTGGTCTTGATTAGCCAGAATTCAGAGTATAATCAATTTTGCAAATATTGCAAATATTGCAAATATTGCAAATATTTCTGAAGAATCCCTTTATGGGTTCAAAGTGACCATAAACAATCTTGGTCTTGATTAGCCAGAATTCAGACTATAATCAATTTTGGATAAGATGCAAATATTTTTGAAGAATCTCTTTATGGTCTTGGTCTTGATTAGCCAGAATTCAGACTATAATCAATTTTGGATAAGATGCAAATATTTTTGAAGAATCTATGGTCTTGGTCTTGATTAGCCAGAATTCAGACTATAATCAATTTTGCATAAGTTGTAAATATTTCTGAAGAATCTCTTTATGGTCTTGGTCTTGATTAGCCAGAATTCAGACTATAATCAATTTTGGATAAGATGCAAATATTTTTGAAGAATCTCTTTATGGTCTTGGTCTTGATTAGCCAGAATTCAGAGTATAATCAATTTTGCATAAATTGCAAATATTTCTGAAGAATCCCTTTATGGGTTCAAAGTGACCATAGATGATCTTGTTCTTGATTAGCCAGAATTCATACTATAATTAATTTTGCATAAATTGCAAATATTTCTAAAGAATTCCTTTATGGATTCAAAGTGACCATAGATGATCTTGGTTTAGATTAGCCAGAATTCATACTATAATCAATTTTGTATAAATTGCAAATATTTCTGAAGAATCCCTTTATGGGTACAAAGTGACCATAAACGATCTTGGTCTCCAGCTGTGTGTTGGTGCCCGATGGAACGTGACGAGACACCGAATTAACCACATAACAAGAACCTCGAATTCCATGTTTAACTCGACGAATTCACGCAACGTAGCATCGGTTTCCTCGCTGGATTACATAAGACCACAAGTCTTCGTGGTACTGTTACCAAACGAGGCGCCATTGATTCGAAGAAAGGTGTAAGATATAAGAAACGATCAAGGAAGAAGTACATTTACCATAAAAATTAGAAATTGCTAATTGGAAGTAGGAAATAATATTACTTAGCAGGGGTTCAGATCCAGAAATTACCATCGCAATCAAAGTGTTGCTTCAGACGTAATTGGAATCGAAGAGCATACGTTCATACTTATATAACGCGAAGGACAATCATTTGATAATCCACCAACTCTTTTTGTGACAAACAAAATGACTTGCACGTGTCAAGCATAGTCATACGCTAATGAAGGATAATCTACATGCAAAATACTGTAATTGAGACGTTTGTTATTTGTTTCCTTAGCGAAACAGCTACCATGCAAGAGGCTAAATTCAATTAGAATATTCATTTTCAAAATAACCATTAATACATTCACGTATTCCTCTGTTCTCTAGGTAAAAGTTCTTCTAGCTTTCAAGAAAGGATGTTTCAAAACTTCAACCCTTTGGAAGACTCCTAAGATCCTCAAGACCGAAGATTTCCAAGATTCTATTAACCCTTTAACTGCGGGTGTGGTTTATAAGCCACATACTAAAATTATAGCCAGAGTGGTATATAAACAACATGTTAATTTCTGCTGATATCAAATAGCAGCTGTGGCTTATGTACCACTAAAATAAAAATAAAATAAATAGAATAAAAAAATCTTTTAACCCTCTATTGCATTTTGTTCCCAATTGGGAACTTAAGTTTCAAATGTTCTATAGTAAATTAAGTATACAATACTGAAGACTCTGAGCATGTTGGTTCCAAGTGGGAACAGTGCACAATTTTCTAATAAAATTTTCATGACCACACTCATTTTTAAGTAAACTAACAGCCATGTATATATTTTTCAACTCGTCATAAAAATTCATGCAATACAGGGTTAAAATAGAATATCACTAAAGTAATATAATTTAAAATTAGAGCATTCGGCTGTGCTAAAAGTACCCACAGAGTTAAAGGGTTAAAAGAGAGCTTCAAATTAGGAACTCAAGCGCGTTGAACCGTTTCCTCAATCTTTCAAATGAGTTCATTACACGAAGAAGATCCCTTAATCTCGTTACTCGGTAGACTTTCACGCGTATCTTGTCAGAGTTCCTGAAACTCCGAGGGAAGGCTTCGTCGATCGAAAATTATGACCCATTTTCCCTCGTACATCCCACCACCGTTCACTTTCTACCCGACGAATTAATCGAACGTTGGGTGGAACTGAAACTTTCAGCATTGTGAACGATCACCGGAGTTTCACGACTATCGATCGGAGGCTGAAATCAGCGAGCGAAATCTCGGCGAAGCCAGAGGCCCGGTGTTTCACTTGGACACGCGCCACTTTTTTTTCTCCTTCCTCTCGATATTTCCATTCCACTTAATTACGTTCTGCATCGATGGGATCCGCGCGGATCGATATCCATTGCCGATCGATCCAATCCGCTTTTACGCGAGTATCTGCTCTTACAAAAATTCTAGAGTTTCACATTGCATATTCTAAGAAGTGTTAAATAATTTTTTTAATTAGGGGCTCTGGGAGCTTAGAAGCGAGGTATTGGCAAGTAGCTACCTTCATATAGGGTAGAGTGCCCCAACAGCACTTCTTAGTGTAAAGCATTCATGGGGCTTGCCGATCATTGTGTTCGGTTCCGGAAGACCCAACACGTTGACTGCAATATAAAATAATTTTTAACAAAATACAAATCCGACTTCGAAATGCACTAAAAAGTGTAAAATAATTTCTATTTCATTTATACCAATATTCCATAGCTATTAATAATATCTACTTAATCGTTAACTGGGATACCAAATACATTTCAAAGTTTTCGGAGGCGGCGCAAAATTAAAAACTTTTCTTCTACTAGGAAGATCCTAACTCGGGCGTCGGCAACCTATGATAAATGACCCGTTTGATAATTTCAAGTAAACAATATTCAACGGGAATACAGGGTGATCCTCTCGCTAGAGGGCACAAAGGAACTGGCGACAATGAATCCCTTGACCGCACCATGAAGACGCACAGAGTCGCCTCGGCCCGGGTAGGTCCCCGCTGGCACGTGACAATACGGACCTCTTTATGGTGCGGTCAAGGGGTCCATTGTCGCCAGTGTTCCTTTGTGTCCCCTAGCGAGAGGATCACCCTGTATTCGAATTGCATGCCGGAGGACCGATAGCGAGAACGGACCAATCTCGACGCCACCTGGCGGTCGCCGACCCGAGCTAAGGGCGTCCGGGGAGACTCACCGCCTTCCCTTTCCACTAAATGGCATGCCAAGTGTCCTTAACGTCTGTGATTGCATTATGAGGCTGCATTCGTTTCTGATGCACTGGTTCACTATTTAAAGTGAGGATGAAGAATAGGGGGTGCTTTTTACTGTTGCAGTATTTTATTATCATAAGGCTACATTTGTTGACCGGCAATTTTACGCAGAAGCTACCTCATGTCACCGGCTATTATTTCGTAATTCAGTTTAAGTGCCAACTCGAGTTAACTCGTGACCGGTCAATAATGTCTTAAAATGGATATAATGGAAATAGTTATTTGATACACCTACCGTCTCTGGTTGTATTCATTGTCATCAGGCTTCCACTGTTTACAATTACACTGTAAGACAGCACTTACTCTTGATGCACTATTTCACTAATATGAGGTCTCAAAGGAATTGTTAACTGTAATATTTGTAGTCACAGTAAGAGCACTAAATCAGTGTTATGAGACCCGAAGGAACCTCGAGCCTAAACATTGTACTCCATGAAGGCAGAGCAGTCTTTTACGTCCAACAACTCATTTAATCTCTCGTTTTCGTTTTATTTCCGTTAACGGTACGGGGCTCATTTTATGTCCGCCTGTTCCACGCTTCTCCTCTCCTCGAAATAAGACTTACATTCAATTCGGCAGTAATAATTTACCATTTGTTGTCGTTAAACGTCGTGGAAACGGTATCGAAGCTGTAAGGAATTTTAATCGCTCAATTACTTTTCTCGAGAGACACTGCTTTGATGATCGATAAAGATTGTTCTGCTCTTAAATTCCTTGGCATATTTCCAACTACCGTTTTCCGAAAATTTCATTATATGATCGAGGGAGATTTACGTATTCCCCTCGCGAGCAATCTTTCTTCGATGCTCCTTTTTCCACACCCGTTCTATGGAAAGAGCGCGGCAGTGTCCTCGTCGAATGTAGAACGAGTACTCCACGAAGACAGACAGGGAGACAGACGGACGAGGACACGAACCTGACCTCGGCAAAGAACCGAGACGATTCGACGACTTTCAGCAGCTCGTAAAACAAGCATACCAGCGACCTCAAGGTGAGGACTCGCTGTTCGTCGAACTTTCTCTGATCTCTTCGCGTTCGCACTCGGAAAACCCTACTATCCATCTGCCTCTTAATTACAGTACCAGAGACGGCTTTCCAAAGATTTTCATCCGACCGCCAACTTTTATTTATAAATATTTTATATAAGAAATATTATGTAGGCGTTTAGTGGAAAGGGAAGGCGGTGAGTCTACCCGGACGCCTTTAGTTCAAGTCGGCGACCGCCAGGTGGCGGCGAGATTGGTCCGTTCTCGCTGGCGGTCCTCCGGCATGCAATTTAAATGGGACTTTCCTTCTTGTTACACACATTTTCACGCACATGGAGCTGCAGTATGCACCCCCGTCGCGGTGTCGATGACAGATAAGGGCTTGGGCCCATTCACACTGGTGTGGCGGTTTCAGTACTCACCTAAGGATGAGGAGCCCTATGAGGCAGGCATTGGTGTAATACAAAGGTTCAAGAGTCCCCTAGGAGATGGCAGGTACCTATGAAAATTTCTTCACATTAAAATAAAAAAAGAAGAGGGGTAAGGAGCCCTTGAGTCCTAGCACAACTACTGGGCCCAATGTAAACTTGGCCTTAGAGTGCTTACACAATGATGCCTCAAGGGATACATAGTAGGTCCCTATATTCTCTAGGCCCACCATGCCCTCAAAGATGAAAGACACAAGAGGGAACAGTCTTTTCCGCACACCTGCCTGCACGACGAATGGCGCCATTGTTTCCCCCCATACACGACAAAACTCCCATGAGAAATTTCAAACAATAAAACGATTCTCTGGAAGCAGGAAAAAAGGTCTAGCGGAGTCGTTCCAATTCCTTTCGAGGAAATGACCGCATTTTAAGATGGAATTATAGGGCGCAACGGGGAAGGACAACTGATCTTAGTACAAAATGAATTAAACAGTTAACTGCGGAGTTTAGTTTTAAAAACTCCTCGCGATATGCGGAATCAAAATCTAAATGCGGAAGCAAATGCTCCTATTATATATTGTACGAAAAAAGTAAAGCAAAACGAGGAAGGGTTACATTTTTATTCGATACAAAATTAACAGTACATTGTTGAAAAGGTTATTATTATTAAAAACTTAAAACTTGTCAAAAAATAATCAAATTCATAAGCAAGAAAAATTAAACAGAGAAAAATAATTTACAAATCGGAGAATACCAGATGCATTAAGGAAAATAATTAACTCAGTTTGTAAAAAATAATACACTGTATGGGGAATATCCGATATACCAAAGAGAATAATCAAACTCTTTTGTATAAAATACATAGCAGTTTTATTGGTAATAAATTGAAAAATACCACCAAATGACATTTTTATTTCATCTTATTAAAATTTCGAATTTTTATAGTCACTGGTAATATTTTATTTTACAAGACGTGTATACACGTCGATCGCAGTTAAATGGTTAATTCACGAAGTACATTCATCAAATAATTAATTAAATTCTAAGAAATCTCGAGAATGTAACTGGTGCATATCTTTGACGATTACGTAAAGAAGAGGAAGGGACGCGTTTTCGTTCCATAGCTGGAGGCCCCGGCCTTCCTAAATTCCAACCAGCGCATCCCGTTACTTCTCCTCCACCTGTCCGATCCTCTTTGCCCGAGAAACTATTGACTGCTTTCCACTCTGTTTACCGCAGCATTCGTTGCCGAGGATCATGAATGGAAGGAACGATCCCCAGCGAATCGTAGACGATAGCGCGGTTTCACCACACCGTGACACCATAAACATGATCGTGTGTCCTTAACGCCATAGTAGAAATGCCTCTGTACGGCGCAGTATGGATTATTCAGAACATTAATCCAGAAGGAGGATAGATATACTTCAAGAGAGGACACTAGGGATGTAGAGCATAAGGCTTCCCTAAAGAAAATGGCAATGGAAGAAAGGAGGGTCGAATGGCCAGATGGCTAATTGAATAAACCAGAGGTCCCCAAACTTTTTTGTCCCGTAGACCACGTGTCGATTTCTTCTGCTTTGGGTAGACCCCCCCCCCCAATTTCATAATATTGATTTTGTACAAATTTATACATTTACGGGAAGCCAAAATTTACATTTCATACACCTTCAATTTTTTTTTTTCTTCCACTGACATGGGCCCCTTGCAGGTCGGTGTCGACCTCTGGGGGGAGGGGGCTGGTTTAGAGGAAAAAAGTTGCTTAAAATGACGAATTGTACAACATATTTAAAAATCATCAAAATCGGCGAGGGAATAGCTATTCTACAAGTTCGCCGAATAAAAAGATCAGGTAAGGTTAGGATAAGATGTGAACAGGGAAGGAGAGAGTGGATGCATACATTGATCACTGCTGTGTTATGTGGATATGTTACAAGAATGTGGGAAGATGACAGGATAAGATAAGGTAAGGTGTAATAAGATATGAGATGTAAATGATTACAAAGAAATGTATGCTCATTAGAAAACCATGAAATAAACAACTGCATACTGATGAGAGAACCCATTATTTTGTTTCTA